TATATATATATATATAATGTGCGCGTGAATAACTGGTCTTACGTGCGCAATCTCGGCGCGATCGCGCTTCGCAGAGGCCCAGAGCAAAGTCGCTCGCGCATTCGCGCGCAGTTTCAGTTTTAATTAATTTCGCGCCTGGGATCGATCAACGTGCGCATTGATTCGGCTTCCGTCGAGTGGCTTGATAGCGTTTGTCAATATGCTCGCAGTATCGCGCGCGCTCCCTCGCCGAGGAAGAATAGGCGAGCCCGGTGATGATGCTTGACGAGCACGAAGGTTCCTTCGTAAAAACTCGCGCCGATATATTTCCCTCTCGAGGGCGGCAGAGGGGGGAACAGGAAGGACGAAAGGAGCGTCCGGCGGGATTTACACGCAAAATTAAGAGACGTTCTTCGTCCTTCGTACGAGGACACCAGTCAATCGAGCTTCCCGTCACGCACGATATTCTCTCTCGCGCCGCTGATCTTCACGCTACGAGTTGTACATCAATTCGCGTTTACGCTCCATCTAAAAGTGTCCCCCCATCCACCCACCCTCAGCCCCTTCTTCCTCCCTCTCTCTCTTCCTCTCTTTCTCTCTCTCTCTCTCTCTCTCTGAACTCGCAATCAGTAAAGCGTCTCCATGAACCGATCGATCCGTCCTTTTGTTGCGAACGTCCGCTCTCCATCCCCGCCCCAACAGTCGAGAGAAAAGATGACGGGAAAGCGGGGGTGGGGAGGGCAGGGTGAAAAAGTGGAAGCGCCGAGTGGTCTTCTTGCTCCGGAGGAAACTCTGGCATCGCGACAGCGCGAGATCGCGGCCACTAAAATCGCCGTATCATCTCTCGCTGCGAAGCGCGATATTTTTGGCCGTCCCGCCCCGCACACCCTCGCTCTCTCTCTCTCTCTCTCTCTCTCTCTCTCGCCCCGCTTTCTGTCCACTCCCAGCGACGTCAAGCGTCGTATTAAGTGACGAAATTAGTTTGAACGGGCCGCCAGGAACAACAGGCGCCTCTAAACGCAACAAATTACAGTCGCCTTCTCACATCTTTCGACCTTTCCGCGTTTTTCCCCTGCACGCCCGGCGCGGCGAAAATGCCGGAACAACCCCTTCACACGCGGACCTTCAGTTTTACCCCCGGGCAATTTTATCGCCGCAGGAAATTTGCAAGCCGCATTTCCGGCCGGCGCGCAGCGCGTCAATTCCGGTGGCTCGATGACGGAGCCGCGGCCGCGCGGATCGCACGGGAAGATCGCTTAGGAGGGAGAAAGGGGATGAATTCTGCAGCCGTCGAGAAGAGTCCGCGAATGAACGCGTACACGCCTGCTTGTCGCGTGGAATTATTCGAGAGCAATGTCATCGTCACGTGTCACAGCGCGCGCGCCGGCGGCGCGCAGGAGGGAGGGACGAAGTGCACCCCCGAATGTCGCCGATAATCAGATTACCGCGGAATGAAATTGCGAGAGCCGGCCTCGCCGCCGCCGAAGTTGGGCAATCTCTCTAAAATTGAACGGCACATGTTGCGAAACAGTGTCACGCGCGCGGCGATGGGCGTCGGCGAACTTTGCGAGTCCGAGAAGGTACATTCCCGAGGAGTTCGATTTATGTTCCCCGCGAGGAGTTTCGCGTTTGATGGCGCGCGATCGCGAGCGAGCGGCCCGCCGCTTCCCGACGCGACCGGTCGCGTCGCGTAGTGTCGCGAATTGTCGCTGTCTCTCGCTGGCAATTTTGCTTCCAACTTGGAACGCTCGACCTCGTGCGATCGAATCAACTGCAAACAAGTTTGGCGAAATCGATCTGCAAGGCGCGAGACTCCCGCACCTCGGAGAGTCGATCTGCGAGAGGACCTTCTCTATTCTCCTCGTGTGTCCTCCACGAGGACGAGCACGGAGGATGAATACAGAGGAGGAGAACGACGCGTGAACGTTACGCTACGTATTTGCGTTAAGTGTCAAACGAAGTAACCTCACCTCGGTAAATTCTTAGGGAAAATTATTCCAATTTAGACTCGTACGCGTTTCGGGCTCTTAATCAGTTCACTTGGTGGACCCGAAATCAACGTTTTGTGTCGAAACTGGTGATAGCGAATAATTTCGTATTTTACATGAAAGTTTAACTATAGAAGACTTTTTCGATCGCTGCTGACGAGTCCAGGATAAAAGTTTCAAGATTCAAAATAGCGGATCCAGTATGGCGGCTGCGAGTGGCTAACTTTGATATTTCATTATGGATACGTATCGGACTCGGTATGTTTTTTGATCGCAGATAACGACTGTCATAAATCCGAGGTTTCCATCAGAACCATTCGGCAAAAAAGCAGTTTCCTTCGACATATTTCATCCACTAATAGCGGAAGTAAGAGTATCCATTATGGAATACTGTTAGTCATTAGAAACCGCCATATTAGGTCCACCATTTTAGATTTCGATTACAATCTCGACTAGATTCATCATCAGCAACCGAAAAAGCATATCGAATATGACCTTTTTCATAATGGAATAACAAAATTAGTCATTCGAAGCCGCCATATTGGATCTGCCGTTTTGACTTTTGAATTTCGACCCCGGGTTCATCAACAGCGACCCGAAAAACTTTCTATAAAAAAGATTTCATATAAAATCAAGAGAAGATATCAATCTTAATAAATATTTTGCAAAATCTGACAAATTGAGTATTTAAATGCTGTCACATTACATGTGCCATTATGAATTTTTTCAAATTTGTTTCCGGATTCATAATCAGCGATCCAAAAAACATGACTGTACTATGTCTCACGCAAATTCGTTGAAAATTGATAAAGCTATTCACGATGCTCATGTATAAGTCATTAGCAATTGTGGCGCTTGTTTTTTCCGCTCATGTATGATTTGGTGCCGGTGAACTGGTTAATGGCCGGCTGATAAATAAACAATTATTACCCTTTGGTCGCGTTAATCGCCGGTTTTCAAATTTCACGCTGTAATTTCAACACTTTGATCGCCACGTTGACTCCCGGTGACCCTTTAAGCGCGCCCATCTGACGGAGGCCACCAAGGGCGCACAAGTGCTCATTTGCACCATCGATCTTTGCCGATACCTACTACTCGACTCCGAATTAATCAAGTTCAATCTTCTCTTTTTTTATACAGGAAAGGAGCACGAGAAATCTTACGATGCTGGTCTGGCAAGCGATAAATAATAATAAATATCTGAATATTCATAACGTTTATCTCTCCCTCCCTCTCTCTCTCTCTCTCTCTCTCTCTCTCTCTCTCTCTCTCTCTCTCTCTCTCTCTCTCTCTCTCTCTCTCTCTTTCTCTCAAGTTTCTTCCGGGAAATCTTATACTTGTTAATAAACAGTCTGTATTTTACGGAAAAATTCGTACGATATCGTGTGAGAGTAGACACTTTTCAAAAAAAACTTTAATCCTGTCCAATTTCTTCATACATGTCACTAAATTACATTATATTTACATGTGCAATAAATATTTCTCTTGGAAGATTGAAAAAAAAAACTGCAACTGGGATTTTTTAAATATTACTTTTCCTCCCGCAAAGTTGCACTTAAATTTTGTTACTCCATTTACTTTTTACTCTGAGAGTCGATTTTTCTCTCAAATGCTTCTTCGGGATACGATCAGACGTTGATCAATTTTTCATGTTTTATTATTTTTTATCGGCTTTTCTGCCGTCACTGTAAAATTCCTCGTGCCTCTTCGTTATATTAAAAAAGGAAAAACCAAGTTGAAATTGGTGGATTCTAGAGATGTGCGAACTATTCGAATTCGAATCGAATCGAATCGAATTACATTAGATTCGATTCGATTCGAATCCGAATCCTTATGATTCGAATCTGAATAATTCGAAAATTTTGAAACGCGAAGATTCGAATACGAATCAAATACATTAGTGTTTGCGCGCATCAACTATAAAACAGACCATCTGGATCTATATGTATCCTTAACTTGTAATTAACTTATTGCAATTAACTTAAAATTAATAACTTAATTATAAATTACTTTAAATATTTAAATATATATTTTACTTTAAGATGATATTACAATATCGATATTTCCTTTCATATTAAAATCTTCCATCATTATTTGCATGTTTAATAGTCATGTTAAATTTTTTAATGACTCGATTCGATTTCATTCGATTCGATTCGAATTCGAATGAAATTTCATAGATTCGATTCGATTCGAATTAAAAAAATGAGATTCGATTCGACATAAAAATTCTTGATTCGCACATCTCTAGTGGACTCAAAATCCAGTTATAAGTCGGCGAAGATCGATGGCGCAAACGCGCATTTGTGTGCCCTTGGCGTCCTCCACCAGATGCGCGCGCTCAAAGGGTTAATTGTCCCAATATTCGCGTCAAACTTCCATCGTCATAGACGCGATAAATGAGTGCAGTTCGTGTGATACGTGTTTGTTTTCACCAGCTCTGTCTCCCTCTATCGCTGTATATTAAATCTGCCATAGATAGACCGGCGTAATAATAACCTCAACGTTCAGCACTAAGGCTACTAATATTTTCGAATCCTACAAACTCCCTCTCAGACACCAGCACAAAGCTACCCCTCTGTGACAAATGTGCCGCTTTCAGATGGAACCGTGCCGCCTATTTTGAATAATCGATAAACAATAAATCAATGTTGCACGGGGAAAACTGTTTGGCTGGACGAAGCAATTTTCTGATGGGGTAATAAGAAACGATTCGGAAATTGCGATTGGAAACACCCAGAGTTGGAGCACCGTCGAAGTTGACCAGAAATCCCAATCGCTCGCAGCAAATTCTAATAACTCGAATCGGGATTCGACCAAACACCATTTCTTGTGTGCAACGACAAGATCCTGACAACTCAGTTACCAAGACGCCATCATATCGGGGACACGGATCAATTTCCTGGTGGGGCAAGAAGAAAAACTCAGGAAACACCCCTTCGACTACTCGGACCGAGTCCTGAGGGCTCGAGACGCAGCGTCCGCCGGGTCGCCGACGGAGGACTCGCGGAGCGACGTGCTGGGCTGACTCACCATGAGGAGGTTTCGGCACGTATAGGTTCAGATACAGGCAGTCTTCGCTTTGGTTGGCCAATATGGGCGCCAGTCTCTCGAGGTAGGCGCGTCTCCGGCGCGGCAGGCTCGTGTCCGGCTCCGGCGGCCGCTGCGGGCATGCCGGCGGCATGGTGTCGGCGAACTTGGTGCCGCGCCACGGCGTGGGGGTGACCGGCGGCATGTAGCGCAGCGCGCCGAGAGGGGGCGTCGCGTACGGCACACCGTAGTAAGTCTCGACGGCCGTGGACGAGCGGGCCTCGACGCCGCGGAGGATGCCGTAGCGTGTCTTGACGGTGCGCGTGCAGTACTTCTGAGTGCCGGCGAGGGCCTCGCCGGTCGCCAGGCAGCATTGAGCGCAGAGCAGCGCCAGCAACAGGAGCACGCTCCTGACGATGTGGGCCGTGGTCCTGACGGCAGGGGCCGCGAGCACCTCCTCCTTCGCGCCTTGTCCTCGCCGGCGACGTCGTCGCTCGCCGAGAGGGTCACTCGTTGGACGCTCCTGCGGCCGCGAGGTCTCCGAGGGGCCGCCCTCGCGTCGTCCCTCGTGCCGGAGGATTCGCTGGCTCGTTCGATGCGATACGGCAAGGTCGGCTCGCGGGGGCTCGCGAGCGACATATCTAGCTGCCGGCCGCCGAGCGACGCGGAGGACGGTGTCGAGAGGCGAGAGATCCTTCCTCTTCCTCTTCCTCGGCAAAGAGGAGGAGGATGTCCGCATCGCGTCACGCCGCCGCGGACTGGCCCCTTCGGGCCCCGCATCTGTGGGGCCCTCCTGCCGATGGACGAGCCGCTTCTTCCGCTTTCGACTTCCGCTGTCTTCCCGCCGCCGCTCTCGTCCTCGTCCTCGTTCTCGTCGTCGTCGTCGTCGCGCCCTGCGCCCTTTTCCGCACCGCCGTCGCCGCCGCCGCCACCGCCACCGCCGCCGACACCGACACCGCCGCCGTCGCCGCCGCCGCCGCCGCCGTCGCCGCCGCCGTCGCCGTCGCCGCCACCACCCTTAAACAACCCCCGTCGGCCGTCCACTCCCACGTCCGCTTCGGCTTGCCGCCACCTTCAGTCTCGTTCCCTCCTCCGCGCGGCTTCCGCTCCCCGGCTCCCCTCTCGAACTCAAAGTAGCGACTCGGTGCAATCGCTCTGCTGCTGATCGGCTCCGAGCGGGCTCTCACTTCCATCATCAGCTGCGTGCGTTGCCGAAGACGCTGTGCCGCCAAACCGGCGACTGGACTTGCCGCTCGTAGTCGCCGCGAGGCGCGATCGGCAGGCGCGCGCACACGACGCTCCGCTGACGACGGTCGACGAGCTCGAGTCGTCGGCGGCGAGGGCTCCTGACGGAATCATCGGCACCCCTGGCGAGATGCCACCGGACAGCCTCCCCGAAGAGTCGTTGCAGAGCCCTCAGCGCGCACGTCGCCGACGTGCGGCCCGACTCGTCCGGCCAAGCAGCAGCAGCAGCAGGATCATCGGCTGGCGCGCTCCTACCTCCTCCCCCTCCTACACCACCTCCTCCTCCTCCTCCTCCTCCTCCTCCTCCTCCTCCTCCTCCTCCTCCTCGTCGCCTCGCTGCTCACGTACGCACACGCTGTAACAAGGCGAAAGCCCGAAAGGGCGGCTCGTTAGCGTCGAGTCGGCTTCCCTGATCGCGAATCTGCAATCGCGCCGCCGCGACTAACTCGGCTCTCTCGGTGTAGTCACGCGAGCGTCATAAATTTCTATAAACGTGCGCGCGCCCGCGAGTTTCTGGCGTTTACACATTTCCGAAATCCCGCAAAATAGCCCAAGAACGCAGATGTTGCCCGGCTGAACAAATGGCGCGAAAGTTGCCGCCGCCGTTGTCTCTCCGCTGCTCGCTGAAGCGCACGGCTGGAGGGACGATGGGAAAAGGAGAGACGCATGCTCGATATGCTTCCCGAAAGCACAATCGCGCGTGAATGGGAACGTGGGGGAAGGTTGCCTACATTGGCCTACTTTTCAATTTTTCTTCCATAATTTGCAGATACTTGGTAAAAATGAAATAAAGACTAATTGGATGTTATCCTGGATCTGTTTGTGCCGATCCAATAATTTTTTGAGATTTTTTGCACGACATCTTTTGCAGATGTGTCTTTTTTTTCTAAATCTTTGCAAGTCGTGCAATTTTGGCAGCTATTATAGTTGCTTAAAATCCACAGAGTTTCCCAAATTGCATCGTGTTTCCTTTATCGAACCGATGATTAATTTACAAACATGAGAGGATGAGAGTAAGATACAAACAATTTAGATAAATACGTGTTTAATTGAAATTATATTTTGTAAGCCAATGAAGAAAGTATTTCTTTATACGAAAATAAAGATTAGAATTACAAAAATATAATATTTTTCTCTTTCGAAACCATTTAACCAAGAAATTGATTAAAATTATAACGTATGAAAAATTGAACAAACAATATTTTTTAATCATAAAAATAAATATTAAAATTGCTTATTAAAATAATTGTTTTTTAAAGTACCTTGCACAACATCTTTTGTAAGATTTTTTGTCTTCTTTTAAATTTCTGCAATACAATTTTGGTTATTTGCTCAAATTCAACGGAGTTTCCCAAATTGCATTGTGTTTCTTTTATCGTATTAATGTGATTACTTTATGAATTTTGGGAAGATAAAAATAAAATATAAACAAATCAGATAAATACGTGTTTAATTGAAATTACAGTTTGTATAAAACGCCAAAGAAGACAAATATTTTTTAATTAAAAAATATACCATAAAAATAGAATATTTCTGTCTCTCGATGCTCGAACCAAGAAATTATTTAAAATTACAACTTGTATAAAAAACTGAAAAGAAATGATTTTTAATTATAAGAATATATTATTAATATATTAATTATAAAATTATAAAAATATTCAAATTGCTTATTAAAATAATTATCTAAATTATATTCATTTTTATATGAAGTTTATTTTATTTGTTTATTTTATTTGGTTTATAAAGAAAAGTTTTTATATTCATAGAATCATTCTCTGATCACATAACTAAAAATACACATAAATACAAATTACAGAATTTATCTATCACATCCCCGAAATTAAAATTATAGCAATGAAATATTTTCGTTTCTGAAAACTTTATTAAGAAATATACAACCATTAAACAAGAGTTTGTTTCTCAATAAATATAAAAAATAAAAATAAATATAGGTAACACAAAAGAAGAAAATAAGCTGCTTTCTATAAACTTTAAGAACAATAGTCACGAATATAGTTTTGCTTGGAAATTCCTAAATTGTAGCGATACAATACAAACAATCAGTAGGAGGTGCGATTCAAGAGTCTAGTCGTGATAGCAAAATATATACAGAATAAGATCATGTCCAAACTACGCCATGCAAATATATCAATTTTAACGTAGTATAAAAACTGCAGGCCGCTAAATTACTAAGCCTTTTGAAACTTTCGAAGTGCCTTATATAAAAGTGGGGTGGAACTTGCTTCTAAAACTAAAAAAGACCTTCACTCGCTCTTTTTAATAAGATACTTTCGTGCATAAACATTCACTTCCCTCTATTAACTTTATGGTGATAGATGAACCTCGCATAATATGCAGATGCCGCTAGGCCTTCGGGTTCTATGAAATTTAAAGTTCTACGAAATTTAAAGATAGTACATCATTTGGGGGTCGGTACAATGTCGGCAACTTTCCCCTGCGCGGCCCGCAGGGGAAAGTTGCCCTGACGTTTTCTCTCGAAAGCCACATCATTTCGGGATCCTCGCACGTGTGACTTTCCGCGCGACCGGACTTCCGGAAATCAGCCAGCGCTCTTGAGGGACGCCAGGAGGTTCGTGGCACTTCCGCTGAGCGCGGAAGTCCTGCTGCGCTTTGCAAGGAAGCGCGGCTGGTCCAGCTTATAAATATGTAGATGGGCAGAAGACAACGGCGATTCCAGCCGGTGGAACGAGTGGAAATCGTCTCTCACCAAGTTTCACTCTTCCGTCGCGGATTCATCGAAACTCTCGCACTCGGCCGTTACTTCAAGTGACCTCGAACGAACGACCTCGAATGGATTTTCGCCGACAAGGAAGTCTGCCGCCAAGAAAGTTTAAATAACGTTGCCGATAATTTTGCACCGCCTTGCCGGATAAGCGTCTGTCTACCTACTTATCTTCTTTCGCGTATATGTTTTTATTTTACATTCAAAGAGATCGCGGTGGGTTGGCTTGCCACAGACGCGCATTTGTCATACAAACATTAGACCACGCAGCGCATAAACAAATAGCGACGCATGACGCTACCTGAGCACCGTCGGCATTAAATTTCCAGCAATTACGAGTGCTTGGTTTCCGGAAGTTCGTCCGGCTGGATTTCCTTGTTTATACGTTTTCACCAAGCAACTTGCGGCAAGAGGAAAATGTCCCGCTCGCGGGTGCTTTTCTCCCCCAACTTGCGAGCCCGGCGCAATCTCAAGAGTGCGATTCTGCCGCTGGCGACCGAGATGAGAAGTAGAGTCGAAACCGCGGCAGTGCAGCGCGCAGCGCGCGGCGACCTGCATTTGCATAAATTATTGCGGCGAGGAGCGATCCGCGATTGCGGCGGCGCGAATTTAACCGTTCGGATTGCACATTAATACGCGGGGATGCATATGCATCGATCCTTCGGGCTGAATTTTCGGGAATTTGCCGAGCGTCCGACTTGAAATTTATCCGCGATAAATCGATAATTAACGCACATTGCCGAAGCGCGCGCGCGAAAGAGAGAGAGAAAGAGAGAGAGAGAGAGAGAGGAAGAAAGCGAAACGCCGCGCGCCGTGATGAAAAATCGAAAATCGCGCACAGCTGGGCCGGTCGCGCGTTATCCCAATCTAAAACCTAATTAATCGCGATGACGATGTACTTTGATTCCGACGAGTTGCTCAAGCTGCTCGAATAACGCGAAATCCGATAGCATTCGGCCGTAACTATGCGAGAATTTCCAATTTCCAACTTGGGGTAAACTATACCCGCCCCCTCGCTCGCCCCTCCCCTCCTCCCCCCTCCCCCACCGCTGGCCCTTTGGTGCTGCATTTAGTGCCGCAGCTTCGACAACGTTTCGCCACTACCCCCCTCGGGGCCGGGGAGAGGCGGGAGCAGTCGGTGTTTAAATTACCGCAGCCGCTGAGTTCCAACGATAATCTCTCTTTCTCTCTCTCTCTCTCTCTCTCTCTCTCTCTCTGTCTAAGGCTTTTTCCGGCCGCGGAGCAACGAAGCTCCAGAGAGAGGGAGAGAAAGAGACAGAGAGAGGGGGAGGACGGAGAGGCTCCGGCAGGAAACGCGATTCCGGCGCGCGCGGCTGCCGATTTCGGTGGCGGGGGGGGGGGGGGGAGTGGCGTGCGATTTTCGGAGCGGAGGCGAGTGAAAATTCGGGCGACGCGTTTCCCGGCGGGCGCACGCGCGCGCTACTTTTACTTTCCGGAGCTTTTCCGCCGGAGATCGCGCGCCGGACTGCAAAGTGCATCGACTGGATAGCACTTTGACGCGCGGCGTCACGCGATGCTCCGTCGATCCTCGCGACTCTCCCCCTCCCTCCGCTCTCGCCCTCTCTCTCTCTCTCTCTCTCTTTCTCGATGAAAGCGAGCGGGGCGTTTGAGTATGATCAAAATTGAAAGAGCCCGAATTCTTTGTCCGCGTCCGCGGCCCTTCCATCCCGGGGCTGCCGTCGCTCTCCGCGGAAAGCGAGGAAATGGAACAAACGAGGCGGCCGGATCGAGCCTGGAAGCGCGCGTCCGGCCGAGCATTGACGTCACACACACACGCGCGCGCACGCACACGCATTTCCAGCGACGATATTTTTATTATAATACATGAGAGAGAGAGAGAGAGAGCGAGAGAGAGAGAGAGAGAGAGAGAGAAGGGGAGGGAAGTCGCGGCCACGGCA